TGTGTGGAAATTGGAGGACTGAAATTTGAGATTTGAAAATTTATGAAGTTCAGAATTTTAGTATTTGGAAATTTATGAAGATTAGAATTTTAGTATTTAGAAATTTTGAGTTAACAATTTTAATAATTGAAAATTTCAAAAATGGAGAATTTTAGCTTTTAAAAATTTAAATGGAAAATTTTAGTATTTGGAAATTCTAGTATTTTGAAAGTTTTATGCTAAGAATTTTAGCTTTCGAAAATTTTCAGTTGGAAACTTTAATATTTAAAAATTTTTTAACTTGAAAATTTTAGCCTTTGAAAATTTAAATTTAGAAATTTTAGAATTTCAAAAATTAAAAACTTGAAAATCTTAGACTTTGAAAATTTGAATTTAGAAATTTTACAATTTGAAAAATTAAAAACTTGAAAATTTTAGCCTTTGAAAATTTCAAATTAGGAATTTTAGTATTTTGAAAATTTCAAATTGGTAATTTCAGCATTGAAAAATTCAAAAACTTCCAAATTTGAATATTTCAATTTCTAAATTTGAAAATTTGAATATTTTAGAATTTGAAAATTTAAAAATTAACAATTGGAAAATCTAAAAATCTAAATTTAAGCAATTAAAAATTGAAAAATCCATGAAACTCGAAAACTTGCAAATTAGACTATCTACAATACTGAGACCCTAAATAATAAAATATCTAAAATATTATCATCCAAAAGAACAAGAATTCTCTACCTGTCTCAACCCCTCGCTCAAAATCATTCCAAAACCTCCCCCGATACGAAACGTGTTAACCAAAAACAAAAGCTATTCAAAAATGTTCGTACACGTGTTAATTTCATCATTCGATCAAAATTATTCCACTGGCAGAAAGCCGATCCCTCGAGGATCGTTAAAAAAACTGAAGTATTAAGCAACACTAAAGCATCGCTCGAAAGAAGTCACCTACCAAGAGCGAACAATGAAAGATATATTGTTCGGTTCGTACGTTTTTTTCTCGGAGGATAGAATTGTCTGTTATCCGTGAAGAAATAATGGTACAACTAGAGAGACTAAAGTCTAAAAAGAAAGGATAGAAACAGGAGGAAACGTGAGAAAGATATTTTCAGCAACGTCACGCAGAGAGCTGCAGCCACGTCCGGATACAATGGAAGAAAAGTCTCGCATAGATGATTGCGGCAGACCAGCTTGTTGGCAGGGAAGTCTTATTCTCTAAAAGTGGTTTTCAATTTCCCAGGGGTGCATTCTGTATCGATTAACGAACTTACGGTCGAAATTTTGTTTTATGCGCAAATTAATCGTTCGCGTCGACACTGTTGGCGGCGAATTGTTGAGAAACAATGTGTTTACGTAATTATTTTATTGACACTGTGATAATTGTGGCTTCATGGAATAATTGATGTTTTTCATTTTTTAAGATGTGCGATGAAACAGTTGACATTTTCATTTTTTAAGAAGCTTGTTATTTGTTTATGGAATTGCGAGTTTTTGTTTATAATAATTAGCTTCGGTGGAAGAAGTAGATATTTAAAGGGGTAGATATTTATTTTTAGGTAATTTTAATTGGGGTTAAAGTTAGGATTTTCGAGTTAAGAATTACAAATTACGAAATTACAAAATTTTTAGACTTTGATTGAAATTTTTGCATTTCAAATGGATTTGCAAATTTTATTTTTCGACTTTTTTAAATTTTATAAATTCATAAATTCTTAAATTTCTAATGCATCATTTTCCTAATTTGCTAAAATAATCCCCAGATATTGAAATTCACAGACCCAAAAATCCCTAAATACTGAAATTCTCATTAAAAATCCCTAGATGCTGAAATTCTTATTAAAAATCCCTAGATATTGAAATTCTCATTGAAAATCCCTAGATTTTCAAGTTCTCACTAAAAATCCTGAGATATTGAAATTTTCATTAAAAATTCCTAGATATTGTAGTTCTTGTTAAGAATACCTAGATACTGAAGTTTTCATACATAAAAATCCCTAGATACTGAGATTTTCATATTAAAAATCCCTAGATACTGAAATTCTCATATTAAAAAATCCCTAGGTATTGAAATTTTCATATTAAAAAATTCCTAGTTACTGAAATTTTCATATTAAAAAATCCCTAGGCACTAAAATTTTTATATGTAAAAATCCCTAGACACTGAGATTTTCATACTAAAAAATCCCCAGGCACTGAAATTTTCATATGTAAAAATCCCTAGACACTGAAATTTTCACATGTAGAAATCCCTAGATGTTGAAATTCTCAGATTTTGAAATCCCTAGATATTGAAATTCTCATATTTAAAAATCCCTAGAAACTAAAATTCTCATATTTAGAAATCCCTAGAAACTGAAATTTTCAAATTCACAAATCCCTAGATTTCAAAATGTGTCGCATCTAAATTCTCATCAAATTTCCAAATTCTCAAATTCCCAACCTTGCATCACAAACACAATTATTCCCTTTTCTGATATTCATTAGATCCACACAATAGTATTACTCGAGTAAGAATACAAATTCTAAAATACGACTATTTCATCTTCCACGTGAAATATCCACACATCGCACCGTAAACCATTTCGGGGTTAATAGCTACAAAGCAAACCTCCATATATCATTCAATCTTCCCCAAACAAAGCTCGCGTTGTTTCTCAACAGCTCGGCCGTCACCGAGTGTACCCTAACGCCCAACGAATCTCGCAATCTGTTAGCGTTGATCTTGAACGAAACGTTCGAAAAGTGCACTCCTCGGAATTGTCTGCCCGGTGTGTTTGCGAAATGACACGAAATCACCCTTAACACCATCAGCAGACGCGAAAGGAATTCACGGACCATTCGTACACACGATCACATAGTAACAATTCGAACACCGGAAATTTAACACGATGAAATATCATTCGAGCAAAAACGAGCCCGAGAAGAAGACCAGCGGAGAGCCCTTCAGAGAATCATCGAACCTGACGTGTCCATTAAATGAACATTTCTCTTCGTTGAATTTTCAGGCAGCCAAGATGGACGTCCCTCACCTGTTGCGATACTCTATTTTCCTCCCTTGTCGGGTAGAAAGTAACAATTAGTCGAGGGAGTAGGATAGATCGAGACTAACGAATTTCGATAGATTAGCCGGCATTATTTCAGGTATTTAGCCCGGGATCTGGAAACGCCGGACGATATCCTGTTGGACCAATCGAATGGAATTTTCCTCCGTTATTTTCGTTTCCTTTTATTTCCGCCGTTCTCGAGACACCCCCAAGTGTTTCTCACTTGAAGGAACCCCGGGACTCTTGCGATGACGTCCTCTAATTACTTCGCAGATTGCTGCCGGCGACTTCCAGATACACCTGTTGATATTCTTTATCGATCGCGCTACACGTTTCCTATTTTCAAATAACGAATGTCTGCTTTCTAGCTGATCTTCGGAATACTTCTGTTTCTTGTTTCATTTTGTGCCTCGGATTCACGTAAACGCGGGTCTGCTGACAACTTTGTTGTGTAATTCTTGGGGCTGTTTTGAGGGAGAGTTGGTAAAATTAACATGGTGGTTGATGTTTGTGGCATCAATCTGCGATTTCGTGAATTCGTGCCTACAGGGTGTTTCAAAATGGGGTTCAGCTGAGGAGCTAAAAAGTAAGTGAATATTGTGGCAGTTTTGTTTTTGAGGTAAATTTATAATTACTATTAGATAATTAGATCATTGTTATATTATTTGTAGAAATTTAATGTTTGATTCGATTCATTTTTTTATAGAGGAGAGCAATGTGTTCGGTGGCTGTTTTCAATTTTATATTCCCATATTTTACATTTGTAAACATTGACATTCATAAATTCATACATTTTCAAATTTATAAATTTCTATATCTCTCTCTTCCTTTTACAAAAAATATTTCTTACAGAAATCAATTATTACAATGATCACTATACTATAATAACACTAGAGCAATTTGTAAATAATTTTCTTTAACTTCAAAACAGACATTTATATCAATATTTCCAATTAATTTTTACATTGAAGTTCAGTCAAAGTTACTACAATTTTGTTACAATTACTATAATTATTATGCTTGTATTATCATTTCTATAATTCATAAGAGTTATTACAATTTATAATTACAAGATTATTATTATATTTTTATAATTCATAGTTACAAGATTATTATATTTATAATTTATATCGCTTGTTTTAATTGATTTTCAAAAACTATAACAGTGATCAAAATTTTATTACAATCATTGTTTATAATTAAAAAGAATTAGTATTTCTCAAAAACAATGTAAAGCACAAAAAAGATTTCACCCCAACAAATTTTTCCAGTCTCAAACATGGAACTTGCATTTTGAGACGCCCTGTATAATATATAAACGAACTGGCTCGACATAACCTATATATACATACATCATTATCTCCTGATATATGTATATATACCTGTAAACGCCCCCTCTGTACAGTATTATGTAATATACAGCCATGTATACACGTACGTCCATATATATGGCTTTATCTCGATACTTAGATTACCGTGATTATTGTCATTTCTTAGCTTCAGCCTCAACTGGTCTGTTTTTCTGTTTTTTTTTTATTTTTATCTTGCCCTCTTCCGCCTGACGATGCTTCTTCATGCTTGCTGACCAAAAAAAAAAATCAAAATAAAATAAACCGAAAAAAAAACAAAAACAATTGTGCGCTTCGCTACACCCGCCAATTAACGCCTGCAAAAATTATCGCCCGACCGGACACACGATATTTTCAACCTCGATCACCGCCCATTCACTAAACAACGCCGAAAAAAAACAATATCGATACGTAAACGTTAACAACGATTAACGACAATCGATACGAACAACAACATTGACGAACACGTGATCGTGTTTCGACGAATGTATACGGCGGTACCGGTGATCACGATGGGGCTGCGATATATTCAAACGAAACGGGAATATTTGAACGGATATACAAAATGAACGAAAAACGGCAATGTGTATATACAATGAAAAAAAAACGAAAATAAAAGCAGACGGCGACTATGCCAACGAACGTGGCGGGAATGGGCGCGTTGGCTAGCGGAGTGTCAGGAGTGCCGGCAACTGCGGTTCCCGGAGGACTTCAGAGTGCCAGTATGGCGAGCATCGAACTCGGCAAGAAGCGGATGCGCGACTCCAATGATGATCTGCTAATGGTACCACGGCTTATGCATGGAGTACACTTTCCTTTTTTAGTTCTCTTTCGTAGCTGATCTTCGCGAAACTGGCCCGAATTTTTCAGTTCAGAGCATTTCAAAATTATGCGCTATGTTATTCCGCGTCTCTGTGTCTGTGAAAATTGCCGCATGGTTCACCTTGACTTTCAAAATTAATCTTTATTACTGTAATATTAATTAGAGGGTCTACAAAATGGAAGTGAAGAGTTTCCTCGAAAAATGACACTTGCGTTACTAATAACTCGAAGTGCGGTAATTGTGGAGGTTCGTACGAAACACAAGCGATTCTACAGGAAAAAGTAAATCGAAAATGTCCTATGAACTTTTGTCGTACGACCATTCGTTTTCGAGATAATAGACTTTAAAGTTGCCGATATGTGAGGTTCAATATGGCGAGCGCGAGAGAAACAAAATGGCGGCATCGCGGCAGCCATGTTGAATCGCACTCGTATCCACTGTAACTTTAAAGTCTATTTTCTCAGAAGCGAATCATCGTACGAAAAAAGTTTATAGAAACTTTTTGACTTACTTTTTCATGTAGAATCACTTGCACGTTGAATGGACAGTTTTCATACCACCATGAGTTGTCAGTAATGAAAACCTAACATTTTTTAAATAAATCCATGGTTGTTTCTAGACTCTGATTAGTATTACACCATACAGCGATCAATAAGATTTAACCTTGAATTTCAAGATTAATGTCAATTCTGCGACAACTTTTACAGGGCTTCGTAAATTCAGAGACGTAGAATAATGTTATAGTAGTCGTGACATAATTTTCGAACATTTTATACAGGGTCATCACATAAATTCGCCTCTAAAATTGCAGTATTATAAAAGACAATGGTGTCCCTGGCAACAAATGCAGCCATATTTGAATGCTTGCTTTGCCCGCGAAATTTAAACGCAAATTACGTTGTGGCACACAAGAGTAACAGACTAAACAGTTATATTTAGTTATGTGAAACACTGTCATAGCGTTGTTTGCTTTTTAATATTTCTTTTTATACAAAAGAATTTAGGTTAAAAAATTATACATTATACAAGCCAGTCACTGTAATATAACTGTAGGTTTTGTTTACTTTTATCTTGCGTTCAAAATTCGCGGGCTACGGGAGTGTTGGAAGATGGCTGTGTGCTTCTGGCAACATTGCAATTTTAACTGATGCAATTTGAGAGTACGAATTTATGTGAACGACACTGTAGATTGTATTGAAATATTGTGGATTTTGTTTTATCGTTCTTTTCGTTCGAGATATTCCCATTCGGAGTCCTCTCTTCTACACGATTTATAAGATAACAAAATTATTGGGTCATTGCTATTTTAGTGCACAAGTTTTTTAGCTGATTCTTTATTGTCTTCAAAATTATTTCGGAGTTCATTATGGCATTTCACTTTTAATTACTGTCACTTTAGTGCATTTATATAAAAGATAATTTGACGATAATTTACGAAATTTTTCATTTTTCCGAATGGGAATACGCAATTAATCCTTGGATGTTAGATGCTGGATGCTGGAAATCCCTATAATTCTCAAATTTCCAAATTCTCAACGTTAAAAATCTCCAGATTCTCAAATTTCCGAATTCTCAACGTTAAAAATCCCTAGATTCCCAAATTTCCAAATTCTCAAGGTTAAAAATCCCTATATTTTCAAATTCCCAAGTTCTCAACGTTAAAAATCCCTAGATTCCCAAATTTCCAAATTCTCAAGGTTAAAAGTCCCTAGATTCTCAAATTTCCAAATTCTCAAGGTTAAAAATCCCTACATTCCCAAATTTCCAAATTCTGAAGGATAAAAATCCCTAGATTTTCAAATTCCCAAGTTCTCAAGATTAAAAATCCCTAGGTTCTCAAATTCCCAAGTTCTCAACGTTAAAAATCCCTAAATTCCCAAATTTCCAAATTCTCAAGGTTAAAATCCCTAGATTCTCAAATTTCCAAATTCTCAACGTTAAAAATCCCTCGATTCTCACATTTGCATATTGTCGAAGTTAAAAATCCCTAGATCCTCAAATTTCCAAATTCTCAGAGTTAAAAATCTCTAGATTCACAAATTTTTAAATTCTCAAAGCTATAAATTTCCAAAATTCTTAAATATTAAAATTCCCAAATTCCCCAAATACCTAAATTTCCGAATTCTCAAATCCCTAGATCCCTAAATTCCCAAATCGTAGTTCCCTAGTTCTCTAAATTCCCAAATCCCCAAATTTCCAAATCCACTTCCTTATATCCCTGTATTCCTAAATTCCAAACCTCCAAATCCAAAATCCCCAAATTTCCAAATTTCCTCAATCACTCATTCCATTAGGAAAGTATACTAACAGGCTATATTTAAGCCAGCAACCAACACCATCCACAGGATAATTCTTAGTCGGCTTTTCGTTCTTTTCTTTTTAAATATTTAATGTTTGATAGTTAGTCTTTAGTGACAGGTGAGTAATTAGCGCCTTGAATAGAATTTCGTCGATTTTTAGTTCCTTTGATTTCTATCGAAAACAGATATTGTCAAATAGCAGGATTTGTTAGAAAGAATCTCAACAACAGTCTCTACTCAATTATTGTTAAAATTTTCTTTCTATTCTTCTCAGTTTACAGTAACAAATATTGTCAAATACCTAGATTGTTTTATATCAAATAATTTCCAAATTTCAAATATTTCACATGATTTTATAAAATTTCAATAATTCAAGCAATTCAAAATTTTTCTTTCTTCAAATTTTTAATTAATTTTACAATCAATGATACTATACTAAGAAATTATTTTAATAAAATAACTTAATTTTCTGAGATATACACATATATACATATCTAATAAATATTCAATTAGTTAATAAAATTTCTATTTGAAAATTACAAATATGAAATTCAAATAGCATATCTTATCGAATGCAATAGAATAGAGTCTCTTCGTAGAGCAGATCTTTATTTCCTGCGAAGTATTATTTAGATAGCAGTAGCAATATTATTTAAGTATTCCGTTAAAACGAAATGTCACTAAATATTTTTCAAAGAAAGTTCGAGAGAATAGATCCAAGAAATTCGGACCATTTTCCGAAAGTTTCTTGTAACTGTATGTATCATATGTTTAACTTGTGGAAAACACTGTCGAGCGCGCTTACAGCTCTGTTTACGTTTATTTTCATTCTTCTCCCCATTTCTGACGAAAATTTCTATATGCTTTTCCCGATCTTCGAGGATGTATGCTGCGCAAACGCGTTCCGAGTCACAAACCTTCTCTTTCTTCGTTTCACTTGCTATTCCATAACAGAAACTCGTATTAACCCTCTATTCGCTTTTATTCCTTCACTGAAAATGTATTTTTATGTTACATATGTTCAAACTGCATCATTTAACAATTATATTCGCAAAATATTATTTCTTGCGCGTGTCTGAAGAGATGGCGCGCGAAGCGATACGATTTACGTTGATTTCAACTGCCAACTCACCAGACACGCAACTTCTGACAATTCTTTATGATAAAACACGTCGAAAATGTGATATACAATTTTTGATGCAATGATTTGGAAAAATGAATTTTTTTTCATGGAAATTGACTACTAAGAAATTTTTATGTTTTGGTAATATTTTATTTTATTCGCAAGTTTATTTATATTATTGATAATTAACAGGTTGATATTGAATATTTAGGTAATTAACAAGAAAATGTTTGCAAATTATAGAGGGTTAATTGTCACTGTAAATATGTACATGTGTTTATTAGAATGTTGAGAGTGGTAGGTGTTCCTAGGGAAAATGGCGACTTCCTTTTCTTGGATTTGAAAAAAAATGAAATTGGTATCTGATGATTTGGAGTATGAGAATTTGTGGATATAGGGATTTGGAAATTTGGGGATTGGGGGATTTGGGGATATTGGAATTTAGGGATTTGGGAATTTGGAGATTTAAGGATTTAGGGACTTGAGGATTTGGGGCTTTGCAAATTTGGAGATCTTGAAAATTTTGGGTTATAGAAATTAGCAACTTTGGAATTTGGGAATTTAGCAAATGGGGGATTTAGGAAATAGGAAATTTTCAAATTAGAGAATTTAGGAATTGAGAAGTTTTAGAATTTGGCAATTTAGGAATTGGGGGATTTAAGAAGTAGGAAATTAACAAATTCGGGAATTTAGGAATTGAGGCATTTTACAATTTGGCAATTTAGGAATTTGGGAACTTAAGAAGTGGTAAATTAAAAAATTTGGGAATTTAAGAAGTGGGAGATTAACAAATTTGGGAATTTGGAAAGTGGGAAATTAACAAATTTAGAAATTTAGGAATTGAGGTATTTTACAATTTGGCAATTTAGGAATTGGGGGATTTAAGAAGTGGGAAATTAAAAAATTTGGGAATTTCGGAAATGGGAAATTAACAAAGGGGATGTAGGAATTGGGAAATTTTTAAATTTGGGAATTTAGGAAATGAAAAACTAAGAAATTTGGGAATATAGGAATTAGTCGATTTAACAAATTTTGCAATATATAAATTGAATTCGAAAACTTTTGAATTTCAAAATTTAAGTATTTGTAATTTAAAAAATTTGTAAATTCAGAAATGTAAAAATGTAATTTTCATTCACAATTCTGAAAATTTCAAAAATTTCTACATTTTCTGATTTCTAAAATCTACAAATTTTCTGCAATAACATGTCCTCTCCCTATATCGCCATTTTCTTTACAAAAGCTACCATGCTCAGAAATTCATTATGCATTTCCCCCTACTTTACTAAAAGAAGCCTAAACTGAACAGAATATCTCGGCTTCATCCCTTTAATCACTGCTCGTTAATTTCTCACTCTCTTCCATTAATTTCGCTTATCCTCGTTGGTTTGTTGCAATGTTACTCGTATCAGAGCTTATGCCTCATGTTGTATTTGTTAGATCGCTTTTTGGTTTGTTCTTCCATCAGCCACGAATGAAAAAAAAATTAAGAGAAGGATTTAAATCAGGCTTTATTTATTAACCATAAAATATGTACT